TGATTTCCATGTTTTCCATGTTTTCCGGTGCTGAAAGGTGTTCAGTAGAAACAAAGCAATGCGATTGATGCTCTTCTAGCGATGCACGATTATGGAGAATTACAGCACCTGTGCAGGAAGTTTATCAGCCGTCACTGGAGTTTAAAAATTTAAACTTTTCTATGGTGTTTTAAGCAGCAGTCAGGGACTGGATGTGGCTGTAATGTTTGGTGGAAGAGGACAGAGGGACGAACCTTGATCAATAAAAGTTAAGAAAAGATGATTCTGACAGGATGAATGAAGGAATGCTCTGTGTGGGTTTTTCATTTAGCCCCCAAAGGGCAGCTGTACCCGCTGACCCCGGCCCCCCAGCTCCTCTGCCAGGCGGAGGTCCTCTCGCTCTGTCGGCTTTCTTCCTCTCATCTCCACTGAAACCCGCCCCTGGAACTCAGGTCCGCCATGTTGAGGTGAAAGCTCCTCCGACCGAATGAGGCAGTGAAGCGACAGGAGTGGAGCCGTGTTTGTGGCGTTCATAGAGCTGCTGTCCAGGAGCAGAGAGTCTCAGGTGTCATGCTTGAAACAGATCCTGCAGTTCTGTCCGTTTGGTTTGGTCCACTGCAGCCGTTTGCAGCAGATGGTGAAGCACAGATTGCTGTGGGAAAGAAGGAACCTTATTAAAAGGTGAAGCTCTAGATCGGGGGTCTTCAACAGGGGGTTCGCGACCCCTAGGGGGTCCACGAAGGTACTGCATGGGGGTCGTGAAATCGTGAATTGAACAGACTAGTAAACAGATAAATGGAGGCAGAAGATGTTTTTCAGTCATCAATGCTCACATTCAGAGACACACAGGAGCTCTTTCAATCTGGGCGCCGTTTCCTTCACAACACCTGTCCCATCAACCGGGAATCAGAAATACTTTAATAATCCCAGGGAGGGATTACTTTAGTTACATTACTCCAGTTCTGACGCGCGGCTGAAGCATCTTTGCTGTTCTAACTGCGCGGTGGAAAAGTGGTCTGATGCACGTGTTGTTGGAAAATTTAGATTTCTCTTTTAATTATATATTAATTTATTCTATTTATTCACTATAAAAGTTTTCAATTAGTCTGTTTCTCTCTCAAGGCCCCACATTTCCTACAGGATGGTGTTTGTAGACCAGACATAGCTTCTTCCCATAACAAACCAGATTCTTTCTCAAAGTTTATTCATAAAATGTTACTGTTTAACCAAAGTGTCTGTAATTTGTTTTGACTCTGACTACTTTTCCATTTTTGTCAGTAAGGAGGAAAGAACGCTGCCCAGATCAGAACAGGGCAGAATGCTGCGCCATAAGGGCCATATGATGAACAAATGTGCCGACTGAGTGAAATCCATCGATCTCCTTTTATTTAACTAGGATGAATAGTTGAATACTTTTTTTCCCCCACTACACACAGTGGGCGGAGCTACCCTATCCTTTCTCTGCCTGGAACAATGGCGGCTATATTAGCTGTGATCAGCGGGTAGAAAGTAGTTAGAATCTATGTTGAAGTGAGAAAGTCCTCCTGAAAACATGAGGCGTTTCTCAATTCACGAGAACGCGAGTACGTACTCGCGTTCTCGTCAAGTCCATTCTTGGCGAGAACTTAGGAAGATCGGACTTGACGAGAACGCATGTGTATTGGAACAGAAGCGCACTCGTGACGTCATCACAGGCAACGTTGTTTAGCATTTCTTTAACAGTCAAAACTATTTATTCCCTACACAAAACATTTTGAAAACAATATTTTTAATTTCTAAAGCTTAAAAAACATTAAAAAAAATTACCGAACCGCAAAAAAATCGCCATCAGAACGAGCGGTAGTTCACACATAACTAGACCGAGAGAAGTGCACTACAGACGGGCTGCGGTTACCCTCGGA